TATTATTATTATTATTACTAAGCGGTGTTTCTATTGGAGCTCAATCGCAAATCTCTTAGGGCTACGACACCTACCCTCCGAAGAGCGGCAATTTCCCCGGCAGAACACCAGCTGGGGTGGTGGCAGCTACCTCCTCTAACGAAAAGAGGATTTGAATGCACCGCTCAACGAACACCAAAATTAGGGTGATCTTCACATTATAATAAAAAACGACGCTGCGAAAAAATCTGAAAAAATTCTGAAAAATACTTTAGGAGGCAATGGGACTCACTCTAATAAAGCACCCTGAATTACCGATACGGTAATTAAGAGGTCTCGAATTGCACTGCAACCTCCTCGTAGCAGGCCCTGCACACTACAGATTTTGTAGGCGAACTGCTGGCGTTTCAATTACATAATCTCATTTTGTAATTTTATAGTCATCGTATCGGATCCGCTATTTTGAATTTCTTAATTTTGAGTACGGATTCGAAATTAGCAACCCAAAAACGTTTCAGTACCAAATTTCAGCAAAATCTTTAGCATTTTTTTTCCGCCATATTGGATCTGTCATTTCAAATTTCTAAATTTTGGGTACGGATCCGAAATCACCGACCCCAAAAACCTATTAATACCAAACAGTACAATCAGAGCATCTTCAACATTTTCGTATGCCATATAGGATCCGCCATTTTGAATTTCTTAATTTTGAGTACAGATTCAAAATTAGCGACCCCAAAAACCTTGGAGTACCACATTTCATAGCAATTGGAGCACTTTTAGTATTTTGGCCACTTTTTCAGTTTCCTGGCCCATAGCGCAGTGGAATAGATATGAGATATGCTGCTCTCAATCAGTTTAAAGATTAAAATAATTTTTCATGTTACCTGACAATCTATATATAGCGGCTTGATCCACACTCGTTTTCTGAACCAGTGAAATATCTGGATTTCTCTTTGGCTTATTCTGACACGGAATGATCTTGGTACCAGTTCTGGGCCCGCCAAACTTCCCAGAACCAACAGCGAACGTTACGATTTGATTGCGGGCGATCAGTTCACCATTTTCATTGCAGATTTCAACTAAAAAAAAAATCTTTAGTAACACTATGATAAAATTTTTATATACAGTGCGTAACTGTATTATCATTATGCTTTATCTATAAAAAGTTAAATGTATGTAAGAGAATGGGACTATTCACTCAGTCATTTTTTACTTTTATTCAAAAGATGGTTAACATATAATTTATCTTTTATTTATTTTAGTTATTAAGTAATCAGAAATATGCATGCATTCGTCCCTATTATCACATAGAGGCGTATGTGTATTTCCATTTCTTGGATTATACGCCCCTACGTGATAAGAGAGATGAATGATCGTCCAGTTGCCATAATAATGACAAAATTACTACGTACCAGAGCTGGGTAATTCCTGATGAAAAAGTAATTAGCAATTACAATTCCCTTTTTTTTCCTGTAATTGTAATTGTATTTAAATACTTTTTTTTATTAAAGTAATTTGGAATTGTAATTGCAGCAAAATAGTTATAGGAATTGTAATTTGTAATTATATTATTTGAACTATCGAATTACAAATTACTTCTATAAGTACAAATACTTTTTCTTATAATTATAATTACTTTTAAGATCATGCGTATTGCGTAATTGCGTACAGACTTGCAAACTTCTATTATTTCATTTGAGGAAAGCCTTGTGCCGCGTGAACAATAAAAAGTGATTTGGTGAATTAACCTCAGAATTAACAGAGTACATTTTATTTTATTATAATTATTATTCATTTAGAAAATATACGAAGTAAAAATATGTTACCTATAGCATCAAGTTTTATAAAAATATATATTATGTATCTATGTGTTACTCGTTACTGCTCTTATTTTGAGTTGAGAAAGCTTCTGGTTCGGTTACTCAGCCTTTTACTCGTACTTGTTCGATTCGTAATTTTTTTAATAATAATTATTGCTTTCCAGTCTACCCAAAATTACTGTATTCTATATTTTGCAGATGTACTAACAACCAAAAAAAAAGAGCATCGGGTTGAATTAATTACCTGACCAATAATATAAAATTATAGTATGAACTGAACTAGTTTAAATTATTAGATTAGGAATAAAAATATAAAAATTCTATATCAGAAAATGAATAAGAATAATCTTTTCATTTTAGTATCAATTCTAATAAATAATAAAACGCAATATTACACAACACTTTTAATTTAAATTTTTAACTTAACTTTTTCCTTTTTCTCTGTTTGGTCACTATAATTTACTTTATCATAAAAGTAATTAGAAAAGTAATTGCTAAATCCATTTTCCATGTAACTGTAATTAAATTAATATAATTCCTTTTTTAAAGAATATACTTTGTAATTGTAATTAGTTCCTTTTTTTAAAAAAGGAACTAATTACAATTACAAAGTATATTCTTTAAAAAAGGAATTATATTAATTTAATTACAGTTACATGGAAAATGGATTTAGCAATTACTTTTCTAATTACTTTTATGATAAAGTAAATTATAGTGACCAAACAGAGAAAAAGGAAAAAG